TGCGGGAAGAGTTCTGTGTGGCTGGAACAGCAGTGCAAAGACCTGGGGCAGCATGGACTTGACTGACTCAAGGGCAAGGTGTGTGTGTCCTGGAGATGAGTGAGAGGTGTGTGGAGATGGAGCTGGGGTGCAGGGTGGGGGTTGGGAGCCATGGGGACCCTCGATGTGTGTTCGGAGCAGTGTAGACTGGCAGGGCCACAGTTTTAAAGGAGAGTGGAAAAACAGCAGCAGAGGACCAAGGAAAGTTCTAGAGCCATGATTCTCGCCCTAGGGTCAGGACCCCTTTGGGGTCAAACAACCATTTCACAGGGGTCTCTTAAGACCGTTGGAAAACACAAGCTATTTGCACTCCAGTTCATAACAGTAGCACAATTACAGTTATGCAGTAGCAAAGAAAATAATGTATGGTTGGAGTCAGCGCAGCATGAGGAACTGTGCTAAAGGATCACAGCATCAGGAAGGTTGAGAATCACTGGGCTAGAGTCACACTCATGGCAAGGGTCCCGGGTGCAGGGGCAGGGGAGCTGGCAGAGCCCCCTCTCACCCTCGGCTTCCTGGAGCTCCGCAGGAGGCCAGGTTAGGAGTCCAGCCTGAAACCCATGACCCCAACCCCAGCCACAAGAGCCCTGCTGGGAACGTTGTTACAGGTGTTAGGAAAGCATGAGGAATGTGAGCTCCAGGCCCCGATGGACATTGCTGAGGACTCAGGGGGCCTGGCAGCAAACCACTGACCTACCCACACGTGGAATCTCTCAGCCCATTGACCAGGGTAAATGATGTTCCCAGCCCTGGAGGGGGCGTGGCTTCCCATGCCCCACCCCAGTCCATACTTCACAGAGTGGCTACCTGTGTGCATCGCCAGCACCTCCCCGGGGCTGCAGGTACCACAAAGCCACACACACACTGCACAAGAGGAGGCTGACTTGTCTCAGCACATAGACACCAAGCCAGGGGAGGGGAGAGTGTGTCTGCTAGAGCAGCAGACTTTGGGCAGACAGCATGCAGGACTGGTCGGGGGAAGCATGCATTCCCTCATTCCCATGTGTTTACAGGGCAGCAGTGCCTGCTGGGAGGAGGGTGTGAGCCTAGAGCAAGACAGCCAGGTCCCCACCTGTGCCGCAGTTGCATTCCAGAGGAGGGAAACAGAGGAGAAACTGGATAAACAAGAGGATAATTTCTAGAAAGTTCTAGGTAGGAGGCAAGAGGGTTGGCCAGGGAGGCCCTCTGTGACCTGTGACCTGGAACAGATTCGTTGTGGATGGAGCTGGGGGACCAGCGTGTGCAAAGGTCCTGGGGCAGCATAGTGGTGTGTTGCAGGGGTGAGGCTAGCGGGTTGTAAGGGAGGAAAGGATGAAGCCAGAGGATCCTGGGGCAGAGCTGGGGTACAGAGCCGTGCAGCCTCTGAAGTCTTTCTGCTGAGAGAGTTGGAGCCCTGGAGGGGTCTGTGGAAACCCTCTGTCCTAGAAGAGCAGAGACAGCAGCGCCTGCCGTGGGCAGCTCTGCAGGGCCAGCGGGGGCTGAGAGACCTGGGCACTTGGATGAGCCCAGCGGTGGGGCTGTGGGGGGAGGAACAGAAACCCAGGCTTGAGGACCCAGGTAGCACTGGCTCTGCAGAGGGAGCCCTGGGTGAGGGAGTGAGGAGAACTCTCGCTGGGCACAAGGCCTCCATGGGGGAGAAGGGTCACCCGGTCCCCACTGCCCTGACACAAACACACGTCCATCAAGATCCCCTGGGGCAGGTGGCCTGGCTGCTGTGACCAATGTGACAAAATGTATCTACAAAGTGTCACACATTCCGTCTTCTGGCTGCTGTGACCAATGTGACAAAATGTATCTACAAAGTGTCACACACTCTGCCTTCTGGCGGCCAGTTCATCCCCTGTAGCCGACTGGCACCTGTCCTCTGTCTGGAGTCCCCAGGTCCCAGGGCCAGCACCTTCTTCCACCCCTCCCTCTCTGGTCACCTGAGCTCCCAGGGTCACAAGCAAGGTCAGTGGTGACACAGGCTTCGAACTCAGTCTCACATGGACACAATGAAGCCTCCACTCTGGCTCCAGTCTGCTCTCAGCTGACTCCAGCTGGGACAGATGGCAGATGACAGTGTCAGCAGGAGGGTGGTGACACCGTGAAGCATTGAGCAGACCCCTCTGTGGCAGCCAGGCTCTGTCCCCAGGCACCTCTGGGAACAGGTCTCAGATGAGGAAGTAGGGTCTTTGCCGCACCCCATCTCTGTCTGTCGGGTCCCTCACTCTCAGTCCAAGCCCTCAAGCAGAAGTGTCTGGGACAGTGGCAAGCACTGCCCACTGGGCACCCCACCATCCCTGGATCCTTGAATCCAGAGTGGCCTCTGTCTGTCTTTTCCACGTTGCTCTGACATTGCCTTGGGCCTTCTGACCAAGAAACACAAACTCCAGCTGGAAACGGAGCAGATGGGGAAACCGAGGCCTGGAGAGGACACTGTAATGCCCCATGATGGCGCCAGGAAGCACTGAGCCTTCCTCTGACCTCCTGGTGTCTGGAACAGTGCTCACCCAGGACTACAATAGCCTTCGGGGGTACAGCACAGCCATGATTGGTCTACCCTTGGGCAGAATGCTCCATCCCCGGGGCCTTAGTTTCCTCATCTGAGAAAAGGGCCCATGTTGGAGGATCTTCCCAGGGCATTTGCAGAGATGGAACCCCAGGGTTTCTGACAGGTTTGGCCTGGAACACAGGAGCTCTTCTCTCACAGCCATCGATAGGGCTGCTGTGTGGTTAGGGCTCGCTTGTGGCTGCCTAGCCCTAGCCTTCATTTGGGACAGACTGTGGCAGGAAAGACCCCACACTCCAAGCCCCTTGCTCAAGGCCACCTAAACCTCAGGGCAACAGAGGAGTAAAAGAAGAGTGACGAGACCAGGCCTCTGAGATGACTGACAGAGACTGTGCCCATCCCCCGGGGCCACTGCCTGTTCCACAAAGGGGACCGCACATCTTGCACAACACAGGAAGTGGGGCCTGGACCCCAAGTCCACCCGGCTGCAGACAGGACAGTCAAGGGGGCCCCGCCAGGCTTCCTGTGTGCTGAGCACATTGTACAGAAAGCAGAAGTGGGTCGTGAGGTCACAGGGCAATCCTGGCAGCACCTTCCCCTCCCTGGACAACTGTTCCGTCTGTCTGTCGTGACTCAGGGAACTGGGTTCAAATACCAGCTCTGCCACTTACCAGCTGCGTGATTCTGAATCCCACAGCTCGCTCACACACACACACACACACACACACACACACACACACATACACACCACACACACATACACACACACACACACCACACACGCACACGCATGCACACACACACCACACACACACACACACCACATTGTGTTCAGTTGCTGCAGCTGCTTCAAGCTTCCCTTCTCCACGTGGACATCGTGGCCACAGTCTTCACACCACTTCAAAGCCTCAGATAATTGACACCTGCTATGCTTGAAGATATTAAGGTACCTCAGGAGAGGTTAGACTGAGGCCCTACTGGATGAAGAGACTTGAAAGGAGACCATTGAGATCACATGCTTGTTCCCAGGGCCACATCAGGCATTACTAATCAATGAGGAGTCAGTTTCCCAGGAGTCAAGATGGCAGCCTCAGCAAGGCTTAAAACTGCGCTCCAGTCTCTAACAACAGGGACAGCATAGCATCTGTAAAGCATAGCATCTGTAAAGCATAGCATCTATCGCTCCAGTGGTGACAAAGTGGATGGAGCAGGACACTGGGCATGGAGAGCCTGGCGCTGGCAGGCTGACTGAGGTCCTTCCTGTCATCGTACCTACCTGGGACCAGGATACTCAGGGCCACTTCCTCAGGGCAATAGTGGCCCAGTGGCGCAGGGGTCTGGCCACAGTGACTTAGGGGTGGGAGACGGCAGCTGCTCCAGGGACGGTGTCCAGGACTCACCCTAGAGAGGCTGCAGGCTCCTCGGCAGGGTCAGGAGAAGTCTGCTGACCGCAGCCTGGGGCCAATGGGGTGAAGGGAAAGCAGAAAGGAAGACAGAGCGTGGCCCCTCGCCTGCCCTGGCCACGTGTCCTATGTTGCTGTCTCCGAGTCTAAGTCACCGCCATCACCCGCCTGGACATCTGTTCATCTCCAGTCTGTCTCCCTGCTCTCCCTCGTCCCCACGCACTGCCAGGAGAACATGGAAGTCCTGAAGTCCTGTAACTGCCTCCTCCGGCATTCCCCAAGTCTCCTAAGGGTCCCTCTCTGCACTGTACCCTTGCCGGTCCCTCTGTCTGCAACACACTGTTTCCTCAGTCTCTCCCGAGACTTCCCATCACCTGTCCACGACCCTCCACTAAGTCACTGTGGGATGGACCCGTGTCTGAAGCTATCTCGTGTTGTGGACCCCCACAGACAGCGGACAGCACGGTGCTCAGGTGGTTTATGGAACAGCAGTACTTAGAAACGGTGTCCCCATGTTTCCCCAGCCACGCCTGAGGGAGGGGAATGTTCCACTCAGTGGTGGTGCCGGGTAAGCAGCAAATGCTGAACCTTCTCAGCGGGGAGGAACAGCTGGGAACGATGACACTACACAAAGCTCCTATTTGTTTTGTGTTTTCTTTTAAATCACATTTTTATTTACTTGGTGGAGGGCGTTGTGCAGGAGCTCAGAGGACAGCTTGCAAGAGTTGGTTCTCACTTCCCACCAAGTGGATCCCAGGGATCGAACTCAGGTCCTGAGGTTTGGTGGCAGGCACCTCTCATCCGCTGAGCCTTCCTGTGGGACTTTGGCTTAGTTATTTACAGTAGACCTCAGCTGGACCGGCCTCAAACTCCTTTCCCTCCTGCCTCAGTCGTCCCAGTGTTGGGATTACAGGCCCTCGAACCACACCTGGCCAGACACAGTTTATTTTATTGTTTCATTTTGAGACAGGATATCACAGGATAGCTCAGACTGCTGAGTTCCAGACACAACTGCCATACCAATTCAAATCTGATCTGGCCCAGGTGCAATTTAAAATTATGTATGATAATTATTTAATTAATTTATTTTATATTATTTATTTTATATATAATATGTATATATATGACAAGGTCAACTGACCTTCTCTGATGGAGAAACTGAGTCTGGGATCTTCCCAGGGCACCACCCATTTCCTCCCACCCAGAGAAAAACGGAAGGAGGTAGTGGTCAGCCGGGAAGAGTCTGGGCTGGAATGGGGAGGGTGGGGATGGATAGAGGCCCTGCTTCCGTTTAACCACAGCCCTGGGACTGTCCCAAAAGGGAAGCAAAAGCTGCTTGTCCTCTTGTCCTTTATCCCGGGCAGGGGGGCTGGGGTACCTAGGGTCTGGGGGGGCTGCAGCCAAATGGTCTTCTAGCTGCTCTGACTTCCTCCGCCTGTGTCTATCACGGGACCCTTGCTTTGCTGAGGCCCCTTGTTCCCGTCTTCCCATCGGCCTCGTCTCTGTTTACCTCTCTGCTCTCAGCTCATTGTCCTTCCTGGCCTCCCCAACCTCCTAGCCTCCTCCCCATCACTGCCATCCTGGCCTGACACCACCGAGGGTCAGGAATCATCATCAGCTGACCAGACTAGGTCATGAATGCTGACTGGGTGAGTGAGTGAGTGAGTGAGTGAGTGAGTGAGTGAGTGAGTGAGTGAGTGAGTGAGTGAGGAGGAATAGGTCACACAAGTCCCCCATCACTCCCTGCCACCCTGGTGGGTGCCCTGTCCCTATAAGGCCACCTCTGTCACTCCCTCCTGGCCCCCAAATGCCTCCTCCCTCACCTCTCAGCCCTCCTGCCTGGTGGAGACAAATGGACGGGGCTCCAGTCAGAGGTGTTCGGGAGGTTCCAGGCGCTGTTGCCTTTTGCAGATTCAGGACTACCCTCCAACCCACACAGGGCACTCCAGCACCCGCAGACAGTGTCCTGGTCCCCTGACTCACACGCTTGCTTTCGGGCACAGAGTGGCGCCACCCAGATCTCTGCAGCAGCTCACTCAGCGTGGGCAGCGCCAACAGGCCCCCAACACCCAGATCCTTAGTCCCACCCTGTCTCCTGCACACCAGGCTGTGTGAAGGGTATGTGGAACCTGCTAAAGCAGCCTCCTCGTTGTTTGGGGTTTTGTTTTTGTCTTTGAGACAGCGTCTCTCTAGGTAGGCACAGGCTGGCTTCAAATTCATGACCATCTTCCTATCTCATCCTCGCGGCGCTAGAATTATCCGAATGCACCACCATGCCTGACTCCGTGGAGCCCTTTAAATCCTGATAGAGGATTCTGCTGTCTGGCTCAGTGTCGGTGCTGTGTGGAACCACACTCTGTGGTCCAGGTGATGCTGACGAGGGATGTCCTCAGATGTCAGCACAGGACACTTTGTTCCCACAGTTCCACAGTAGCTGGCTCAGTCTGAGGCTGTGGACCCGAGAGAGCAGATACTACAGCACACAGGACGCCTTGGGCAGCGGGGATGGGAGCATGGGTACCACTCGGTACAGGACGACAAGGGCAGCGGGAAAACAGATCAGGATGGGAACAGAGGGAGACCTTGAAGCATACGCACATGAGGACCACGGAAGGATCCAGAAACATCTCAACAGGTCCGCAGCAGGAGCAGAGGCCAAGAGGTGTCAAGGAAATGATGAGTCCGAGGATGAGGTAGGGGACAGGGTACAGGACCATTCCTGGGACAGCTTCTCCTCAGGGGCGGTGGGAGCCATGGCAGGATTGGAGCAGGACAGTGAGTGAACCAGCCTGGATCTCTGAAGCCCCCTGGGGCTGAGAGGGTGAGCCGCTGAAGGCGAGGAAGGAGGCAGGGAGGCCAGCTGAGGGCTGGCCTAGGAGGGATGAGCCTTGAAGGCCAATCAGGTGAGGCAGCAGTGGGGGGGAACCGTGGGGATTTCCAGAACCCCAGGAAGACAGAGCCAGAGGGATTTGTGGGCACTGTGGGTGGTTGGGGAGAGGGTGGCTGCCTGACTCCAGGATGGAGGCCATGGCATTAGTGGGCTGAGTGCTGTTTTCTGAGCCAAAGGGAAAAAAACAACAACTGTGTCCCTCCTCGGGTTGAGGGTCTGCCTCAGACCCAACAGGCAGGCTGACACACCCTGGGCACCCCTACCAGGGCCCAGAAGACCTCACAGGCCCGAGCACACTGGATTGCGCTGGTCTCAGCAGGGGAGAGATTGTTTGAGGGGCTTGAAGGCAGTGGGGTTGAGAGGGGAGACCCAGTGGCCTGGAGGGGTTGCCTGGCAGCCTTACCCACTGAGGAGGCCAGAGGGGTGGGCAAAGCCAGGTCACCAGGACCCGTGGGGTGGGGGCGGGGCGGGGCTGTGTTGCTGATACGGCTGTGGAATATTGTCCCTCGATCAACAAAAGATGAGCCCCTGCCTGGTTAGGATGTGGCCATGCGGAAGAGGCATCCGGTGCCACAGCAGCCGCTGGGATCTACGAAGAAAGAAGGGGACGAGATTCCAACCCTAGGCATGCAGAGCCGTGACCCAGCGATGCCTTGCTATGAGACCTCACTGTCTTCGCCTTCCCAGTCATTGAAGACAGGACAGGGAAGCAACAGAAAGAAGCCTGAGGGGAGAAAAAGGAGAGAGGGACAGGAAGGGTCCCTGGGGGATCAAAGCCTCCTTGTGCCAGCAGCCGACTCTAAACCCCCACGCAGCTGTTTTGGCTCTGGCTCCAAGAAGGTCCTCTTGTTCACTGAGCACCTGCCCTGTGCCAGGCAAACCCCCAACCCTCCACTGCTCAAGGCAGGCCTGCCTGCTCCCCGGCCCCCCCTCCCCGCTCTGCACTCACGAAGTACCGGTGTCACTGGCCAGGAGACCCCTTAGATCCAACTTGCCCACCCAAGTGAATGTGATCTCCACACTACACTGTGGTCCCCCGAGTCCCCTCCGCTCTGCTTCCATGCCTCGTCAGACAGCTTACCACCCAAAGGCCCCATTTCCCAGAATTCCTTGTTCCCATGGGGCAAGTGCTGAGGCCTCCATGGTCGTACTAGTCCGTCCCTGACTGCTTGTGGGGAGTAGGAGAGACCTGGGCACTGGGCTTCACCTGGTGGTGGGGCCCAATACCCGAGGCAGGAAGAAACCCCAGGCCTAGCCAAGGCTGGCCCTGTCCCCTGCTTGAGTCATGACTTGCCAGTTGGGAGTAGAGCAGCATGGAGCCCAATGGGAAGCTGGAGGAGGCTAAAGGCTCCTACCACGCCTAACATCTCTCCTTGTGGCTCCAGCTCACAGGGGCCCCACCCAGGCCACCACCACCATCTCAGAGGCCCATTGTTCCCGCCTGGCTCAGCTCCAGGGTCTGGCCCCACCCAGGCTCCCACTTCCCTCTGGGATCCCCCAGCACCCTAACCTGGGCCTCGCAGGGGCCTCTCAAGGTGCCAGCCGAGGCAGCCCCACCAGGGAACAAGGCAGCTTCCCCTCTCTGAGCCTCTGTTTCCCCACTGGTTGTATGGGGTGGCCGGACCTGAAGGGAAGCAATGACGAAGACTGTCCAGGTTTGGTGGGTAGCCGAGTGCCACGTAGGGCGTGGACTGAGGCCCAAGCTGTGGTCTTCCTCTGCCCTCCCTGAACCTAGAGGACCAAGCCAGGAGCAGCCATTGTGGGGATGGGTGGAAGCCAAGGCAGGGTCCCCCTTCCACATGCGGGGTGACTGTGTGGCAGTGGGCAGACTGTGACAGTCTCGGCGGAGGGAAGACACCCGCTGGGTGCTCCCTCTCAGTGAGAAAGAAAAGGAGGGGCGGGACTAAGCTTTCTTTTCTTTAATTTTTTTTTCTTTTTAGCACCAAGGGCTTGAATGAAAACCAGCTGTAGACAGAGATACTATTGTGAGGGGTCTGAGACTTCCGGGCAGACGGAAGAGCATCCTGGGTGTCAGGCTGGGTAAACAGAGGCTGGGGCACGGGCCAGAGGCACAGGCTGTAGGCTAGCTGGGGTCTCCCACACCTCCTGCAGGGGCCCGGCCTGGGTGACAGTGGCCAGCCCTGGGCATTTCCTGCATCCAGTCCCATGCAGTTGATTATGCCTCACACCTGGGAGCCTCGTTTTCCATCTTCAAAATGTGCACATGCATCCCTGCTGGAGAGAGACCCCAGGGCCACTCGACCTTAGCCTGGCCGTTTGCTATTCTGTGGCTTAAGGTTAGCCGCTGGGCCTCTCCGTTCCCACAGCTCCCGTGTGTCAAACGGTGAGCCTCCTAGTGCTCGCCCTCCAGGAATATGAACCATGATGACGCCTTCTCCTCCTCTGCTTGTCCCACAGCTTTCCTGTCCCCCCCCCCGCTCTTCCCTGCATACACACATTCAGCCCACACTTACTAAGCACCTACTATGTGCATGTCTAGACCCAGCTGAGACTTTGGGTGGAGAAAGAGAGTCTGCTAAGGACCCATGTGCAGAAAATGTGCACAGGAAGTCCTGGGGTGCCTACTGGACACTGTCACCTGCAGGCGCTGCCCGCTGCTGGTCCCCCAGACCCTTCAAGGGGTCCAGACAAAGGCTTCTCGCATGCCCGTGATCAAAAACACACAGTGCGCTCACACAGCAAGGCCAGCAGACTGAAATTCAAACTCCAAAGTGAAAGGTAAATGTGCCTGGAAGGGGCTCCAAACTCAGGCCTTTGTCCCCTCAGGGGCCTCCTGCCTCTGCCAACCTCTGGCCGTCCTGCCTGGGCAACTCCCGTTGAGCCTTTCCCAGCCTCCCCCATGACCCAAAGGCCTCGAAGCTCCCTGAGGAAGGTGACCTCGGCTATTTCACTGAAGAAAAGGAAAAGGGGAACAGACAGCTGAGGCCTCACTCCACCCTCACAACTCAAAGTGGCCCAAAATGAGGCGGGGGAGGAGCCCCGGGTGCTCCTCGACACTGCCCGCCTTGCAGCTCAGCCAAGGAAACGGAGGGAGCCATGTGAAGTGTCCCCGGGACTCGGTTTGCTATCTGTGAGATGGGGCTGCAGTCTGGCGGCCCATGGGCTGTATGGAGGCGTGGTCCTCCGTGGCTGCTTACTGTTACTCCCGCCCGTGTTGTTGACGGCTGGCTACTGTCGCTCCTGTCCTTTGCATTGTCACAGGGACACACTGACTGCAAAACACACGGCCTCTCCTACCTAAGAACGCCAGGCCATACCTCAGCCCAGCGCTGATCACTGTCTTGGGAAAATGCCACCAGGGTAAGCCAATGCCCCTCAATGCCGGGCCCCAGGCCCTCCGAGCCTGCCCCAACACTCTAACTGCCCGACCTGACTAGACCTGGCACAGGCTCAATGTGCACATTGTCTGGGTCTACCCCTCCCCTGGTTTCATCCTTCCTCCCACTGGGGATCCGGCCTGCCCAGGAGGCACTTGAGGGAAATTGGAAACCCCGCAGGGCAGCTGCAGGAGGTAGGCCAGGCAGCCTCCCCTGGGCCTCTGCCATCAGCCTGTTGTTCCATGGAGCTTTGCCCTGAGAGAGCCTCACACAGTGCCCATTTTCCAGATAGGAAGAGCAAGACCTGGAGAGTGCGATCACAGCTCAGGTTCACATGGTACTGTGGTAGCTCGGGTCAGGGTGTGCAGGAACATTCCCCAGCAGGGAACGAAGCCTAGCAGCTCCTGGAGACAGGGGTGGCACTCACCTGAGACAGAGCATCTTGGGCAAGGCTTATGAGCTACAAATTCAAAGTCAGCAATGCTCCTGCCTCACAAAAACACCTGTTCTCTGAAATGGGCTTTCCCTGGCAATGGCCTCTTGACCTCCTGCACAATACTCAAGGCAGAGAAGGGCTTACCAGGTACTGACAGCTTCAGCCACATGGACTCAAAAACCAGAGCTTGAAGGTGGCCCAGGCTCCAGGCAGCTTGGGGAAGGATCTGAGCCACCCAGGCCACATCAGCTGGGGGCCAGAGCTGAAACTGGAGCAGGGGGTGAGCTGGGGAGATGCATCTAGATAAAGTGTTTCCTGGGCAAGGACCCAAGTTCAGCCTCCAGCGCCCAGGAAAAGCCAGGCATGGTGGGGTCTGGGAATCTGTCCCTGGGCCGGCAGAGACAGGTTGGTCCCTGGGGCTTGCTGGCCGGCCAGGAAAGCCTAGAGTGAACTTCAGGTGAGCCCGAGATCCTGTCTTAGAACACAAGGTAGATGGCCGATGAGGGGCAACTCCCAAGGTTGTCCTCTGACACACTCGCGCACACACGCGCACGCACACAAACAGAGACGTACACTCACACGGAGACACACACACACACACACTTTCAATCTAAAAGTGGCCTACAGGGGTGCTGTCCTCACAGCAGGCGCCACAGCTAAGAAGTAGCCTGCGGTGACTTCCTGTCCTTTCCCCCTTCCCTTTCTCCTTCCTCATGTCCTGTGCAGAGGGTGCCAGCTCCCTGCCCCACCCCCCCTCTGGAGAGGGACACGGCTTCTTCAGGTCTCAGCTCCTGCCTGGTGGCCTCTCTGTGACACTCTCATCAGTTCCACACCCCTCCCGTGCCAACCCTTGTCTTACTCCGCTCCAGCCCCCACCCCATGCCAGCCCTGGTCCCACTCTGGCCTCCGCCCTCCCTGAGCTCTGCTCACAGCTGTGGACAGGGCACTGAGTGATCCTGCAGCCACCCTGGCTGGCTGCTGACCGCCTGAAAGAAACGTGCAGCAAACGGGAGCTTTGACAAGCCAGGTCACGGAGACCTGGGCGCTCACCACACCCTCCCAGTGTCCTGTTCTGTGACGGGGACTGTCCCCAAGACAGAGCAAGCTCCGCCAGGGGCTGGCACCCCAAGGCCCCACACATGGCTCCCCACTCTTCCCACATGGTTACCTTCACTCTGCTAGGATCCCCTGTCTGTCCCCACGTCACCTCTCCCTGCAGACATCAGGTCCAAGGCCTTGCTCCTCCCTTTCTGCATATCAAAGCTGAGGCTCAGGGGTGCAAAAGAAATTCAGCTTCCCTGGGAGGGGCCTGGCACTCCAGTCAAGTGGGGAAGAGGAGTGGAGACCCCCCAATGCTAAATTCCCTCTTCTCTTCAAACCTCAGCTTCCCTGCCTGACCCCACCACTGCATAGGGAACACTTGGGGGCCTATTTTGTCCCCTCTCTCCACACAATCGACACCTGTCACTCAGGCCAGCATGGAGTTATTGTGTGTCCACAGCCTTCTTCACTCCGTTCTCCATTCCCTCAAAGCCTTTCTTCCCGGTGCCAACAGCTAAGAACAGGCCCCTTCACATTTTCCCATTGGCATAAAAACGCTGTCCACCCTACCCCGGGACAAAGCACTGCTTTCACAAATCAGAATCCCAGTCTAAACCCAGCACCGGGTCTTGCATGTCTCATTCAGGAATACCCATGCAGAGCGTGTGCACATCTGCAGCCACAACCACAGAAGCCCAAGAGAAAGCGATGTCCACCAGGGTGAATGCAGAGGCAATATGTGGTTTACCTGGACGATGGAACTGTCCTCGCTTAGGAAAAGGGACAGCTACCACTGCTGTCCCAAGGATGCCATGGATACTGAAGTTCACTAAAGGTCGCCCGGCAGCATCTGTGAGGAATATGTCCTGTGAAAACCCCATAGAGGCTCATTGGGGCTCCCGGGGGCCGGGGCAGGAGCTCAGAGTGGGGGAGGGGAGGACAGGGAATGTTTGTAACTGGAGAACTGGGCATGCCCAACTTGTGACAGGACTCAGTGGTTACCTGAGATGGTTGCTCGTCTGTTAGTTAAGGGTTCCTTAATTGTCACTTTTCCCAATAGCTTCCGAGTAGCTTAGGCTGGCTTTGAACTGCAACACAGCAGAGCAATCCCTCATCCCTCCATCCTTTGGATCCTCTTCCACGTGCTAAGAGTGCAGGCTTCTCCTGCCAGGCCTGGCTTAAATGGCCACACTGGTGATAAGTAGCTTATATCTCAACTAAAAACAAATCTCTACTCTTTTCAAACCAAAGATGGGGGGCAGTAAAAGCAAAACGCTGGATCTGTTGTAAGTTTCTTTCTTTTTCATTAAAAACAAATTATAGAGAAAAGACAGCTTACAAACAATGACTTTAGAACAAGCATACGAGAAGGGTCACCTGGTGGGAACCAGCAAAGGCTCTTCTTTGGTTTTTGTTCTGTTTTGTTTGGTTTTTTGAGTTTTTTTTTTTCGAGACCTGATTTCTCTGTGTAACAGCTCTGACTGTCTTAGCACTCGCTCTGTAGACCAGGCTGGCCTCAAACTCACAGAGATCCTCCTGCCTCTGCCTTCCCAGTGCTGGGATTACAGGTGTGCACCGCCGCCCTGGGCTGCACCGGCTCTTCCTAACGGCCACATAATATCCCTGGTACAGACAGACACGCATGGAGCCTACGTTCTCCCAGATGATGGGTGCTGACTTTTCACTCAGGCCCTGTTCTTCTGCCTTCCTTTTTAAATGAGAAAAGGAAATGGCAGAACTCGAACCCAGGCCCAGCCTCACCCCCTACTCAGGACAAACCACACAATGGCAGATTCTGACAGAGACAGACGAGAACTGAGGTGGGCCACACAGGGCTGTTCCCAGATGCCCAGGGTGCTCACAGATGTCCTGACTGTAGGAGAGACACAGGTGGGCGGCAGGAGGCGGGCTGCTGGGAGGGTGGGGTTTAAACAGGGCTGTCAGGAAAGGCCTTGCTAGGAAGAGCCAAGACCCAAAGGAATGAAGGAGAGGGGCCTGAGGTTTTCGTCCACCTGGGGAGCAGTGTTCCAAACAGCGGGAAGAGCATTAGTAAAACCTGGAGGAAGGAGCTGCAGGGTGCTGGGGGGGGGGACAGGATGCTGTGAGGAGCTGGGAGTGTCTGGGGGGGTGGGGATGAGGTGGGACACGCCACCAGGAGCTGTGCCCCTGCTCAGGTAGCATGGCTTGTTCTTGGAAAGGTCTGGAGTGAGGCAGGGCAGAGCAGCACAGGGGCTCTCCAAAGCTGCTCTGCCAGTGCTGGAAGGAGGGGTGGGTGAGGGTCAGTGCTGGGGAGGGAGGGGCAGGTGAGGGTCAGTGCTGGGGAGGGAGGGGCAGGTGAGGGTCAGTGCTGGGGAGAGAGGGGTAGGTGAGGGTCAGTGCTGGGGAGGGAGGGGCAGGTGAGGGTCAGTGCTGGGGAGGGAGGGGCAGGTGAGGGTCAGTGCTGGGGAGAGAGGGGTAGGTGAGGGTCAGTGCTGGGGAGGGAGGGGTAGGTGAGGGCCAGTGCTGGAAGGAGGGGTGGGTGAGGGTCAGTGCTGGGGAGGGAGGGGCAGGTGAGGGTCAGTGCTGGGGAGGGAGGGGTGGGTGAGGGTCAGTGCTGGGGAGAGAGGGGCAGGTGAGGGTCAGTGCTGGGGAGGGAAGGGTAGGTGAGGGTCAGTGCTGGGGAGGGAGGGGCAGGTGAGGGTCAGTGCTGGGGAGGGAGGGGCAGGTGAGGGTCAGTGCTGGGGAGGGAGGGGCAGGTGAGGGTCAGTGCTGGGGAGAGAGGGGTAGGTGAGGGTCAGTGCTGGGGAGGGAGGGGCAGGTGAGGGTCAGTGCTGGGGAGGGAGGGGCAGGTGAGGGTCAGTGCTGGGGAGAGAGGGGTAGGTGAGGGTCAGTGCTGGGGAGAGAGGGGCAGGTGAGGGTCAGTGCTGGGGAAGGAGGGGTGGGTGAGGGTCAGTGCTGGGGAGGGAGGGGTAGGTGAGGGGTCAGTGCTGGGGAAGGAGGGGTGGGTGAGGGTCAGTGCTGGGGAGGGAGGGGTAGGTGAGGGGTCAGTGCTGGGGAGGGAGGGGCAGGTGAGGGTCAGTGCTGGGGACAGAGGGACAGGTGAGGGGTCAGTGCTGGGGAGGGAGGGGTGGGTGAGGGTCAGTGCTGGGGAGGGAGGGGTAGGTGAGGGGGTCAGTGCTGGGGAGGGAGGGGCAGGTGAGGGATCAGTGCTGGGGAGAGAGGGGTAGGTGAGGGTCAGTGCTGGGGAGGGAGGGGTGGGTGAGGGTCAGTGCTGGGGAGGGAGGGGCAGGTGAGGGTCAGTGCTTGCTCCCTGCTTGGCAGAGAGGGCTGCTGTGGGGGAAGGGAGAGGGCTGCCCACCTGCCTGCCACCCTGAACTTGAGAGGAGCTGGGCTTCCCCGTCTGAGGAGGGCAGGGAGAGAAAGTGCCCAGAGAGGAAACAGATTCTGCTGACTCAGGGGCCCAGGCCAGCCACTTCCCTCCTGGGAGCCCCCAGTCAGGAGCTTTGCTGGGATTAGGAGGGAATGAGAGAGCAGCAGCCACCACAGGAATGACAGGAAGAAGCAGGCTCACAGTGGGGCGGGGGTGAGTGACTTAGAGCGGAGTCAGGAGGGCCTCCTGGAAGAGGGGGCATTTGAGCCTAAGTGAGAAGAATACGTGTGGAAGTTTCACTTGGCTACAGGTAGAGGGGAAAGAGCCCCTGCCGAGGAACAGAATGCACAAAGCCTGTGACCAGAGGCGACCGAGGGTGTCCATGCTTGCTGAGGAGGCCTGGCTGTAGACTGCAGGCCCCGTGCCACACCCAGTGCTGTCCGGGTCTGGACCAAGTCAGGAAACACTCCCACCAGACCCGGGAACAGGGTTTGTGGTCAGCTAGGGAGGCTTCTGGAGGGGCCCTGATGAGGTCCCCACGAACTTCTCTGAGCCTCGCTACTCCTGTGAAATAAGAAGCTTGTTTGGAATAGAAATCACGAGAGGCCCCAGAGCTGTCCCGCTGCTGCTGAGAGACAAGGGGGTCAGAACTGGAGAGCGGTGGAAGGTTCAGAGGGCTTGGCTCCCGCTCCTGGGGGACTGCAGGGCCAGCCACAGGCAGGCTTTGTCACTGTATCATGGGCTCTCCACGGGGCCGTGGAGGCTGGAGAGGAGGCAGGGGAGACTCGAGTTAGAGCAGAGGAGACAGAGAGAAAAGAGCCAAAGAGAAAACCAGAGCACCAGACAAGACAAGAGGGAGACGGGCATGACACCGAGAGACAGGACCACAGAGACAAAAGAGATAGGGAGCCCCGTGTGAGGAGGTGTCATCACTCTGTCTCCAACGCTCCTGCTGGCACCCCAAACACCCTAGAGAGGCTCCAGGCTCATTGCCAAGCACACGTTGAGCACCTACACTGATGTTTCCCTGCATGTGGGGGACCATGGTCCCGAGGCAGGCAGAGCTTTAGAGAGTAGGAATAGTGGTCCAGTGAGTGACAGCCCCTGGCTCTGTGTGTGTCTGAGTGTCTGTATGTGTGTCTGTATGTGTGTGTCTGTGTGTGTCTGTCTGTGTCAGTTTGTGTGTCTGTCTGTGAGTGTCTATGTGTGTGTCTGTCTGTGTCTGTGTGTATACAGGTCTGACAGGTGTAGCAGGGGCCCCAGCCCAAGAGAGAGGAGAAGGAAGCTGAGGGGTATGGGGGACAAAGTCAGACCTGGAACCCAGCCTCTGCTGACTGTCCTCCCCAAAGAGGCTGGATCTGAGGTGGAGTCACCACCGCCACGCTCCTGGGACTGAGTAGGTCTCTGGGGCGACAGATCCCAGACAGGGAAGGACAGTGTGGCTTCGAGAGGATTCTGTGGCTATTGTATGGGGGAGGCTGGGTCCCAGGTGGAAGTGGAGGCCCCTCAGTGCGTTGGTAGTTAGGAGTAAGGAGGTGTAGACTCTCAGGGGACCCCAAGGCTGTTTCTAGGACTCCTGTTGAGCCCCCACATCCTCTCACTCTGAAGAAGTGTACCCACAACTTCCCTCAGCAGACCCAAGGAACAGCCCCACACTGAAGGGTTGGAACCAAAGGGAGGCAAGCAGGGGGAGGGGCAGGAATGTCTCCCACCCCACACACTCACCTTCCAGAAACTCCCAGAATGCCGGGCAGAGGGAGGCACCGCATGGGAGAAAGGCCCATTACCTCTTTAGGAAACATGAGAGGGTGATTCACCCCTGCAGGAGTGAGCCCGGGAAACAGCTGAACAGCAAACAGGACCCTGGTGCCAGAGCCCTGGGGCTTCCGAAACTTCTGTGTTTAGGATTTGTCCTTTGTGTTTGGGTTACAGCATTAAGAGATAAGAGAGAGAGAAAAGAAGGAAGGAAGGAAGGAAGGAAGGAAGGAAGGAAGGAAGGAAGGAAGGAAGGAAGGAAAAAGGAAGGAAGGAAAGGAAGGAAGAGAAAGGAAGGAAGGAAGAGAAAGGGAGAAAGGAAGGAAGGAGAGAGGGAGAAAGGAGGAGGAAGCTATGTGTTCTAACATTACAGAAACACAGAACTTACTCCCTCAGGTCACTGAGCTGCTCACCGTCCCCAAACACTCCAGCCTTTTCTGCCTCAGGCCCTTTGCTCTGGCTGCTTCAGGAACTTTCCTGCCCCGGAGAGCGGGCCCACCCATACATACAAGGACACCCCCATTCCCACCCAACCCCAAGAGCAAAGCTCTATGCAGAATAAGTGGGTGAGCCAAGGAGCCTGCTCACTGGGGACAGCAGCTGGGTCCTCCAGCTTCAGTCACGCTCTAGGGACTCTAGAGACAGACAGGTGGACGGGCAGGCAGGACAGGGAAGGATGGGGCCCATTGAGAAGTAACGGGGAGTAAGTGAAAACAGGCAAAGAAACTGGAGTGGCGGCACACTCCTGTAATTCCAACAAGCCTGATGCTGAGGCAGGAGGATTGCCATGAGTTCTCAAGGCCAGACAGGATGAGACCCAGTCTCAAAACAACAGCAACAACAAGGTTGGCAGTGTGGCTCAGCAGATAAGGGCACTTGCTGCCAAGGCTGACCACCTGAGTTTGAGGCCCGAGACCCACACGTTAGGAGGGAGCTGACCTGGCAAGCTGACCTCTGACCTCTGCATGCTACCCTCTCCCCACACTATCTAACAAGTAAATAACAAGTCAGGTGCGTGTCTATGATCCCAGTGCTTGGGAGGAAGAAGCAATGAATCAGAAACTCAAGGTCACACATACTTGACTACATAGTGAGTCCAAGGACAACCCGAGCTGCGTCTCAAATAAAAACAAGGACATGCAATGTCCCTGGCTGGCTCCTCAGGGCCTGCCTTGGCCCCGCCCATATCCCTTCCCACCCCACCCCACCCTCCAAGCCCTCCAGCCCACTGTGTGCTGCTAGTTCCCTGCAGCCCTCCAGCTTCAGGATGCTTTATTATTGAAAGTTCACTCCGCAGACATGGACCAGGGCTGTCAGGCCCTCACTCTCTGTGAGGAAATGCAGGGTCCACGCTTTGCATGGCCCCTCTTGATAGTCAGGGCTAGCAATTAGGCCAAAAACAACGCTACAGGCCAAAAGATAAAGTACAGCTGAGGACAGCTGTTTGGAGCCCTGAAGCCTGGTACTGGCATCAAAGAGCCGGGGTAAATAGTGGTGAGGCAGGTACGAAGGCTTCCTGGAAGAGGAGGAAGAGGCCAGGCCCGGTAAGTTTGGTGGTCCTCAGGCCATGCTGGGGGACACAGCAGACCCAGTACAATGAGAGGAGACCTAGCAGGTCAAACCAGATTCTCCCAGGAGCCCCTGGGGGTCAAAGCACCCTGTCTGTTTCCTGTCTGTCCACACAGTGTCTTCTCTCTCCTTGGGCTCTCTGTGATCATGGTGTTGGGGTCCCCCAAAGACCTACGTCCCTGTCAGTGTCCATCAGTCCAATGCAGGAGGGAGACAGGAGGCCACACGGGGCCAGCTCACTGCCCACAGCACATGGCTGACACATCCCTCAGGCCACTGGCCATTAGGACAGTGTGCTACAAACAACACAAGGCTGGGAATCGGAACCCGAGTGCTCCGGCAGCAAGAGACAGCATGACACTGACTAACCAGCCCACCACAGGGGACAGGGTCTGAAGCCGAGCATGTGAGTGTGCACACGGTGACACTGGACGGGACTGAGTCTGTGCCACAGCCCAGATAAGCCTCCTAGAGGAAGACTTCCTAAAAGATGCTTGAGTTCCCCGTGCCTTCCTTTTTCTGCCTGTGAAATGGGTCAAAGAGGCACCATGTGCACCCAGAAAGTGGGTGGCTCAAAGCAGGGCTGGGAAGCAATGGGGTTATTAAAAT